CACAGGGGGGTTCCCCTCGCTCCGGGCAGCGGGCACAGGTGGGTTCCCCTCGCTCCGGGCAGCGGTGCCCGCGGTTTCGGGAGCTGGGGCAGGTCCGGCAGCCGAGGAGCCCCCGGGGCTGCAGAGCCTGCGTGCACGGACAGGAATCACTGCCAGAAAGCACCTCTGTTGTAATGAGCCAGTTAGCACCGGCCAGGCCCGTGCCCTGTCAGGGGCATCTTTAACCCACTGCCCCTTTCCCTGCCTGTTGCCAGAGCCCCCGTGCTCACTTGTTATGGGCTGATCTGGGTCCCTTCCAGTCTGTCCTTGGCTCAGTCAGCAAGAAGGTGCCACCCTTGCTTTGCTGGCTTGAGAGGCGTTTTGTTTAGTCTGGTGTGCGGGGAGAAGAGGGGCTGTTCCCCACAGATCTCCACAAGGACAACACCAAAACAACCCCGGAGGTGGAGCTGCTGGAGGTGAAGGAAAATCCCCCTCAGGCAGCTGCCCCACGAGTCCATGGGCTCGTTGTCCAGGCAGGCTCTGGCAGCTGTGCCAGGGTCTCTAAGCAGCACTTGTCCTTCAGGAGCACCAGCAGCAGCTCCCATCCAGCTCCTGTGATCCATGCACTAGTCAGGCTGCAGCCCAAGACCCCACAGAGGAGGGGCTGTAACTGGGGAGATGTTATGGGGGCTTCTCCTGGGCTGCTGGGCTCTGCTGCAGGAGCCCCAGTGTGGATGTGCAGACCCCTCTGCACCTCCTGCAGCAGGATGGGGGCCCAAACCAACAGTTCTGGGACCTTCAGGACCCAGGAGATCAACATCTATCAAGGAGGCTGCATCTTTCCTACCCCCCAGGCAGGCTGATGGATGCAGAGGACCCCCCCACCCCCCTGGCCCTGCTCCACCCCCACCTCCTCCACAGGGATTGACTTCAGTACAACGAAGCTTCTTCCAAGGAGGATTTTATTTATTGTCCCCTGAAAGACCAAAGCTGAGCTGAGGACCCTGAGACACAGCCAGGAGGTGGGAGCAGACGGGAAGAGGCTCCTGCACCAGAGCACAGAGACAAGGCTGGCAGGGAAAGGACCTGCCCGTGGCAGCAGCTGGAGGCAGAGGCAGGTGTCAAGGTCCATAACTCAGGCAGAGACTTTCTGGGAGGTGTGACCAGTTTGGACAGACCCATGTTACCTGTCCCAGCTCCTCTTGTAGGGCAGCTGGGACAGCCCAAGCCACGTCCCTCCAGGGAGGGGTCACAGGGACCCCCACCCATGGGGTCCACAGCCCCCAGCTCCCCCCAGGAGCAGAGGCAGCAGCACCAGGACAGGCCATGGCAGAGCTCGGGCAGCCTGGCCAGTCCCAGCAGCCACCTCCTCCTGCCCAGCAGGAGAAGTTCTCTTTTTCCAAGCATAATACTTGGCCACAACCACATTGGGGTTTCCCTGGGCAGGGTCAAACCACATCTGGATGCAGCGCCCGCTGCCCCGGCGCTCCGTGGTGTATTTGTAGGAGTTGGACCAGATCTTCTCACACAGGTCCTTGGGGTGGGGGAAGATTTGGCTGAAGGGTCGACACATGGAGCCCCAAGGGCAGCGGTTGGTTCCTGAGGACACACAGCACCAGGACACAGCATGAGCTGGGACACATCTCCTGTCACCAGGGAGGAGCCCACAGCCCATCCCAGCACCCAAGCTGAGGGGGGGGGGGTCTTGGCCCCCTTCTGGTCACCAACCAGGACAGAGCAACTGGGGGTCTTGGCTCTGTCCACCACACAGGCAGCAGGGACACTGCAGGGGGGAGGAGAACTTTGCTCCACCAACCTGTGGCCCAGTTCCAGCCCTTGTGCCAGTTCTCCTTGCAGGTGACATAGTCCTTGCAGTCCTCCCACCACTCCTCGCAGTCCTCCCTGCAGAGGGGCACGTGGAGGATCCTCTCCCGGCGCCAGCTGCTGTCGGCCTGGGGGGGGACAGGACCACGAGCACTGGGGGAGGGTCTGGAAAGGTGAGGGACAGGATCTGCCACCTCTCCAGGTTGCACAGGGCTTTGTGCAACCTGGCCTGGGGGGACGTGTCCCTGCCCTTGCAGGGGGGTTGGAACTCAATGATCTCCTATGTCCCATCCAAACCAAACCATTCCATGACTCTGTGATCTGAGTCCCCCTCAGCCCCTTCCATTGGGCTCCAGAGCTGATCTTGGAAGAGTTTCAGTCCCAGCAGAGACGCAGCCCAGAAACCAACATTGTCCTGGGCTGTGTCACCAGCAGCGGGACCAGCAGGGCCAGGGAGGGGATTGTCCCCTCTGCTCTGCTCTGCTGAGACC